TGATTGCACTTTGGATATTCTTTTTTGTTTTTTTTTTTGTTTTCTTTGCACACCAACATAAACCTCAATGCAATGCTTTCTTTTTTATATTTTTCAATTTTTTTTTGTATATAAAATTGTAGTGTGGCTAGAACGTGCACACCATGCTTACTGAGACACCTTAACAACGATTGTCTCCGGGAAGGCTTCGTTTATCCTAGCGTATGATGAGAACGCGTACTATTGTGATGATGAACGCATACCGTCACTTATACGGCAAATGGCGGGTATTTGGTGTCTTTTTTTTTTTTGTTGTTTTTCAGTGATCTGTTAAAAATTTAATTGGACAAGTTACGCTATTGTGAAAATTCATTAGTCGGGGTGAACAATCCATTTTAGTCATACCTGCAAAAATAAGAAAAAAATAAAAATAAAAAACGAAAAAAATATATTTTATCCATGGACAGTAGTGTAGCTTAACAACACACAGATACAGGGTGTCCGAAAAGAAACTGAAAGTTTCAATGTTATGCAATTACTTCTAAGATAATTTACAGCTTAAGATTTGTGGTATTGTAAACTTTCAATGAAACGATGCCGGATACCTGAGTATTGAACCTCGTCTCAGGATAGTAAAAAGCGATTGTTCACATCCGGTAAACTCCTTGTTTGGCTTTTATCATAAAGTTCCCGTGCAACTTCCCTGAGAGCTTTGAAAACTCAAGATGTTTACATAAGCAATTGCATTCTATCGGGAAGCTTTGGAAATTTTCACTTAAAGGAGCAAACACATATCTGCTGCGCTTACATTATTAGTTGGCGTTACGCACCTTTTTTTCACCTTAGAACCTACGGAAGCTTTGAATGATTTAAAAACTTTATTTAACTTTTTTGTTACATTAACAAAATTCCTTCGTTATATTGACATATATATGTATATGAAAATTTCGGACAAAGTGATTTCTCTCTAATTGAATGTAATAAAATTTTTAACTATTTCTTAATTAATTTAAATTTCTAAAAGCATATCAGATTTTTAGATAACTTAAGAGCATATCATATTTTCGAACGGAATGAATTTTATTTATCAGAAGCAATATAGCTTTTTTTACAAAAAAAAAAAAAAAAAACTAACAGAGATCATGGAATTTTAAAAAATACTTCGTATCTACAATACTTTTATAAGCAACGTCGAGGCGTTTACTCTTTGAGATGTCAATTAATCAAAGTCAATTATTTAATAGAGAAATAACAGACTATAAGAAAAGTCTATGCGAAATATTTAAGCTTGTAATCAAAATTCGCAACCATTCGATATGGCAGCACGCATGCACATGCGCTTATAATTAATACTATAAGCGGACATTGCATTGAGTGTCTTGCGGTAAAATTTCAAAGCCACATAAACTTGGGTCATAAAGAGACCGGACTAATTAAAATGCAAAATTCTACAGATGAAAAGCATTATTGCAGTTCTGCGCTAAATGGGCCCGAAGTTAGCAATTGTTCGCCCTTTATTCTTCACTCTCCGGAGAGAACGAATTGATTTGGTGTGGCCCGTACAATCTATGTGAAAATTGAATGCTCAGGGATAAAAGATACCCGTCACTCGGTCCAAGTAAAGTGCGAATTTATTAAATTACATTATTTAACCAGCAAGCAACGCGTACGTTAACACCATTTATAAGCAGGCAAACAGTTTTGATAAAAATTCGCATTGTTCGCAGTATTGTTCTCAGCAGCCTTTTAGGTCTTAATGCTAAAATTTTGATCGCGTGTTGTAAATATTGAAAATAGTAACATTCATCCTCTGCAAAAATAGTAGATCACTAATGACGATACGACGACGAATTAATTGACTACGTGACAGTCTCAGTTACTGGACATTTGTGCGATCAGTTTGGGAAGAACTGAGAAACATGTACGTTCAACACACAGACTGCAAAAGATTTGCATTATTGCAAATAACGTTCGCTGAGGGATGCCCTTAATGAAAAACCCCTATGTATATACATATCCAACGTAACTCTATTATATTGATTTCAACTGAACGAAAAAGGAATAAGAAATTTAATTCGCACAGCGTTTTAATCTACATGCGTTCCGTGCATACGTGTTCATTCTCTTACATATATGCATGCATGTTTATGCATGCAAGCTAAATTACTTTTGTCCACCATTTTTTTTTTTTTTTTTTATTTTGTTTTTTTTATATGTTTTTGATGTATGCATTAATTTTCCTTTTTTCTTTTCATAAAAATGCAAATTAAATGAAAATAAACACCAAAAGCGAATTCATTTATAAAGATTTCCTTTTGACGCCTCTTAAAATATGCTAATTTATGTCATTGATAAAATATTATGTAAATATCTGTTTGCTTATATATATATATATATATGTATATATATATTATGTATGGGGATAAGCTGTATGCACAATAGCATCATGTATACGAACGAGTTAAATAAGCGTTAAATTCAACACAACAGCAGAGAAATCGGAGAAATGCAAAAAGAAAATATTTAAATTAACCATAAATTTTCAGATTATTTAACTACAAAATGTTCTTCCTTATATCAGAGCGTTTTTTTTTTTTTTTTTTTATTTCTCTTTTTTTACTTTCAGTCAAAAGCTCTTAATAAATAACAAAAGGAATAAAACAAAAACAACAGATTAAAAAAAAAAAAAGCATTCTTTTCTGTTAATGACAATTAATTAAACACATTCAGTTGTTTGTATGCTTACAAAGAGCATATATATATATACATAAATATATATATATATATATATATATATCTATATATCTTATTTCAATATTTTACCATACACAAAAGCGAATACATGCTTACATATATAAGTACGTGCATATTATTACGAAAGTAAAACAAGCTGCAATCGCTCGTTACAATCACAACCGCACTACTCCTGTGTGTTATTATCATAATTTGCACTCACATTTCACATGCTTTACGCACTTTTCGAACATTTCTGCATATGGAACATGTAAATATGTAGCTACGTATGTAAATAACATACGCAAACGCATACAAGCGTTAATGCAACAAATATGCATTTCCGTTGAGATTTATCTGTATAACGGTCAAGTGACATTAAGTGCAAGTAAACAATAAAACGGACAAACAAAACGAAAAAAAAAAAAAAAAAAAGAACGGAATCCATAAAATTCATTAAAGACTCGATGTATGCAAATAAGGTGCTTATAAATACATTTGTATATGTTATATACGTGTCAACTTATACACAATCGCAAAATCGCGTCAGCTCAGCGTGCGTCATTAAATAAACGAAAAAAGAAAAATAATGCACATACGCCCCTCTGTACCATACTCGCGTTCAGAAGTGAAAAAGACACATACACTAATACTACTACGACTATTACTACTACTACTACTAATAATAATAATATTAGTATTATACACTCAAGAGAGAAGAGGCTTAACCATAAACGTTAACTTCAATTGAAATTTAATGAAACTTAAGAAAAAAAAATGAAAAAAAATATTCTACAATAAAAACAAAAGTCTACGGCAACGTTAATATGAAATATATGACGAAGAAAATCTTCTCTGAAAATTTTAATTTATGCTTAGTGGATTACGGTATAGCAATCCTAGCTTAATGCAGCCAATCTGACATTTTCAATATTAGAATTTTTTTTGTCCTGCATTCACACACCCACGCACACTTTATCTTTAAGCAGAGAAAAAAAGGAAATTAGTTTCCAAAATTGTAGAGCTTATCGTGAAACTACAAATCGAATCGTTTCCTTATGACCAGGGCGCCGTTCATGATTTTCGCAGTTGGTCGGTTTGGTTCGGTCGATCGGTTTCGTCATGGTCCCCGAATCAATTAGCGGAAATTTCAATCAATGTAAAATGTCTGTAATTATCTCTCTCGGACTTTTCGAAAGCTCTCAATAGAGTCCCTCGTTGATTGCTTATTGAAAAGCTTTATTACAATTTTCACTTTTCTAGAATGTCCACCTTATCTTATGCAGTCTTAATCAAGCAATTGGTTTGTATTAATAATTTCCTCTCTAGGATAGTTCAAGTGGAATCCGGCTAATTTTTAGGTGCCATCCTGTATAGTTTTTTCGCAAATGATTCAACTGAACTCGTAGAAACAGTAGGGTGCACTTATTTTGCCTGCGCCTATTGTATTTTCATTCTCTTCAACTATAATCGATGGACTAATGATTCGTTTGAAAGTAAATGTCTAGCAAGAATTAATGATTGGATGCTCAAAAATTATCTCTCTGTTAACGGGAATCAAAAGCCCTTCTTTTCGATCGCGCCTGCTGTGATCAGCAGCTGACTGCTTTCTTTCACCCCTGGATTTACTGTCCCCTCGTATTGCAACACATCAACAATCTCATTTAATATACTTATGATGCAGCAAGTTCTCGTTGCAAGTACACTCGTCAGCCAACTCGACTATTGTAATAATTTGAAGGAGTCCATTCATTCACTTGGCAATTCATCTCACTATTCTCTATGCGCAAGCTTGAAATTTCATCTTATTCGCTCATTAACTTTGCTTGGGCACTTTCGTCCCATTTCCATGTCGTTATCTAATTGTTCTAAAAATTTGTATTTCATTAATGGAAAAATAAATAAACAATTAGATCGATGTTACTTTGTATGTTTTCTGAAATGAACATGTTGCCAACGCAAAATAATGTAGAAAACGACACAATACTCTTTATATACTTTTTTATACGAAAAGCAATGACTAGCTTTTGTCATAACAATAAAAAACAAGAAAATTGTTATGGCACAATAGTAAAAAATTTTTATTTGGAAAATTTTGAAAAAAAAAAAAGCTACTGATTGGATTCGACATGCATAAAATAAATTTATTGGCTAAAAATATCGCTAAATCGTTAAGTAACATCGGTATAGTGCATTCTGATCTAATACCGCGATGGGGGTAGACAATTATAAAAATTAAATTGAAACAAATTTGCTTAAATCCGTACTAAGTCGATTCTTTCTTTCAGTGTTCGCAATATAAGCAGAGAAATACCAGCGATAACTATGAACAATGGTTGCAAAATGCCCATAATAGGCTTAGGCACTTGGGGGGTAAATTGTCACTAATTAAATCTGCAAAATTAATTAAGAATTTACTTTTATCAATTTATTTAAAGGCTACCGATGATTTTGTAGAAATTGAAAATCTTGGACTGGGCGAAAGAAAGGAGAAAGGCGTACGTTCTTTGTTCAAATGAGGATTTTATACATATTTGTATACCATATATGTATTTGTAGATAGAACCCAATGAAATGGTAGAGATTACTAAAAAAGCTATAGATTGTGGATATAGACATTTCGATACAGCTCTTATGCATGGAAATGAAAAACAAATTGGTGACGCGATTCAACAAAAAATTAAAGATGACACGGTTACAAGGCAAATTACTTACGGGATTACTTCGCTTAAGATAATTTTGTACAAATAATATGTATTTCAGAGACGAACTGTTTATTTGCACTAAACTATGGCATACGTATGCAGATCCCGACAGAGTTATACTAGGTTGTGAACGAAGTCTCAAAAATTTAGGTCTGGATTATATCGACCTTTATTTAATACATTCGCCATTGGCAGCGCAAGCCAATGATGATAGCCTATATCCCACGACCAAAGATGGTAAGCCTGCATATGCGGATGTGGATTACGTCTGTACATGGCGAGCAATGGAAGATTTACTAAAAGAGGGTCTTTGCAAGAGCATTGGAATTTCTAATTTCAATTTAAAGCAAATCGACCGCATACTTGAGTACGGTACGATTGTACCGCAAAATCTTCAAATTGAACATCATCCATATCTCACTCAAACAGCTTTGCTCGGTTATTGTAGAGCTCATAATATTGCCGTGACTGCCTATGCTCCCCTTGGTTCACCTAATCGACCTTGGGCGTTCAAAGATACTCCGAAAGCCCTTTTAAATGATCGAAAGGCAAGCAAACACTTATCAACAAATTGCTTGGACTTAACTCTACATTAGATTTCGTTCACAGGTTTTGGCCATTGCTAAAAAGCACGATAAAAGTCCCGCTCAAATCCTTATACGATATCAAATTGAAAAGGGTCTTGCTACTATACCAAATGCAGGAAGATCGGAAACATTTCTATGTGAGAATATAAATGTTTTCGATTTTTGTTTGCGTCCCGAAGATATGGTGGCTTTGCATGGCTTAAATGCGAATAGGCGTTACTTTAAATTCACTGGGTTAGCATTTAGAAAAACGAAAAAAAATATATATATATGAAATTTTGTAACAATCTCTTATCAATTTTTTCTTTTCGCAGGGCCACTGGTCACTCACATCATCCATTTGAAACTACATAAGTTGTAACGGTTTTTTTTTTCTTTTTTTCTCATTAAACGTAACATGGTTTAAGGAAATTTCTAATTCATTTCATTTGTACGTTATTTAGTTAGTTATTGTATCCTTACGTGTAGAAAAAAAAAGTGTTCACATTCTTATTACATTGTTATTGAACTTCAAAAATCTATCACGTTATCCTTTAGGTAAAGGATTTGTTCATCTATTCTGAGGAGAGGATAAACTTAGCTAGGTTTAGTTTCTACTAGGAGAGAAAGGTAAATTATATATTCTCTATACGCTTGCTATTCAAAAAAGTGCTTTCACTCATTGAAAATGTTCATCCTGTAGGAACTTCTATAAACAAGGTACAAAAACCTTTCAATTGTCGTAAGGCAAATTGTTTGTTTTCTGTTTTTATAAAGCCATCCACCTACCAACCATTATAATGTAGAACAGCAAATTATGTTCTTAAATACGTTGCATTTTGGTGGGTCGTAAAAATCGTTGTTCTGGTTTCAGTGTTTTTGAGACGTATTGACGCGACAGGCCTCCAAACAATATTCCCTATGATGTCTGTCGGGCTTCCAATCAATATTTCCTATGATACATGTCCGCCAACGCATTGCTTGTGTTTCTATTGTGCTTTTATATACTCTTCGCAAATAGTTATACGAGGTTCAAACCAATATCTACAATGAATTGCAAATTCGATGTCTCAGGTTACGAATCAAAATCATTTTCAAACTTGATGTGTATGGCCATCAACTAACACAGAGTGAATTTCACAACTTTGGAGATTTTTTCTAAAGTTCGTTTATTTACTTAAAATTAAAGATTAATTAAAATTAAATTAAAATTAAATTGTGATTAGTAAAAAGTCACAAGTAATGTATTAATAAGACTATACGTCTCTTATAGTACAGTGTCTGCAAATAATTATTAACTACCAGTTAGTATACTAGATAATCGTAAGGAACCAATTATAAAAAACGTGTAGACACTAAGCAACTCTCCTTTCAAAATCTCTTAAGCATCTTACATGATTACAAAGGAAGTTGTAATGCTTTATTCGTATGTTGTTTTAATAGCCCTTCTAAGTTTCCGTAGCTTCTTTTTATTTGCTTAAGCATCATATCTGTATCGTTATATTGTTCCCATTGGGTGGTAATATCCTCTGTTACTTACTTTCTTTTTGGATAAATTATAAATTAAGGATACGAACAAAAAAAAAAAGTAGAAACACTATAGTGGTTCATGGCTCATCACTGTACACAATCTCACAGTTATTCACATAACCACACATAAAAAATTTGAAAAATGATCAAAACCAATCAATTCTGGAAGCAGTTTGGAATTTAGTTTGGCATAAACGTGAAAGAGAAAATTGTCAAAAATAAAAATTGTTCATAATAAAAATTCAAAAAAATACATAATTTAAAGTTTAGGCACAAAATGGACAAAATAAATTTACTGACTATTTATACCGTGAATACTTATCTGAACATGCGATGGCAGAGACTTGCTTGTATTCATACCGGATCAATTCTTTCTGCGAAGATGCCTGACACTAGAACAAAAATACCAGACATAGTGATGAACAATGAACTCAGAATGCCTGTCTTGGGCATAGGTACTTGGGGAGTAAGAATGAAAATATAAAGAATAAAATTTGTAAAGTAATTAAAAATTTATTTTATTAACGCGTAATTAAAGGCTAACGAGGAATTTTTTCGACTTGAAAATCTTGGAAAAGTTAAAAGAAAACATAAAGGTGTACGTCTTCTATTTTACGCGCTTCATGCTTACATCTAGATATACATTTACATCTAAGTATATTTATAGATAAAACCAAGCGAAATGGTGAACATTATTAAAAAAGCCATAGATTATGGTTATCGGCATATCGACACAGCTTCTCTACACAAAAATGAAAGACAAATCGGTGAAGCTATTAAAAAGAAAATTGACGAAGATGCCGTAAAGAGGTTTCATAATATTTATGTAAATATTTCTTTATCGACTACATAACATATTCGCATTGTTTTGTGTTTTAGAGAAGAATTGTTTATTGTTTCGAAATTGTGGAACACTTCTCACGATCCCGAAAATGTCAAATGCGCTTGCAGGAAAAGTCTTTGTAACTTAGGTTTGGACTATATTGATTTGTATTTAATGCATACACCAATGGGGGCGCCATCTCCTCATGATGAAAACGAATTCGCACCTACTAAAAATGGTAAACCTTTATTTACGAGCGTAGATTATGTTTCCACATGGCAAGCAATGGAAAATTTAGTGAAAGAAGGTCTTTGCAAAAGCATTGGAATTTCCAATTTCAATATTGATCAGATTAAACGGTTGCTGGACAATTGTACGATTACACCGCAAGTCCTTCAAATTGAACATCATCCATATCTTAGACAAAAGGAATTGACCGATTTTTGTGAAAATGAAAGAATTGCCATAACGGCCTATGCCCCGCTTGGATCACCGAATCGACCATGGGCTGGCAAAGATACATCTGATGTTCTTATGTGCGATCGACAGGCGAGCAAAGTTTTATTATGAACAATGTTTACGTATAATTTTCTTAAGAATACATTGCATTGATAGGTTATATCGATTGCTAGAAGACATAAAAAAAGTCCCGCCCAAGTCTTGATACGATATCAAATCGATTTGGGTCATGCGACAATACCAAATCCAGGGAGATCGGAGGAGAATATGCTTGAGAATATTAGTGTTTTCAATTTTAATTTGCGCTCTCAAGATATGGTAGCCTTAACCAACTTAGATTCGGATGTTCGTTACTTCAATTTCACTGGGTGAGCGTTTAAAAATGAAAATAGAGAAAAAAATCTGTAGCAGTTGTGTTAATGGCCGCTATTCACTCTTCCATTTTCTACAGTTTCAGCTGTCATCCACATCACCCCTTTGAGATTAACGAGTCATAATATATTTACTATTTATTTTTTACCCTATATCTAAAATTTGTATAACGGTTCTGATTTTAATTAGATTAAGTCTATGGCTGCAAAAGAAAAACAAATTTTAAAACTTTAAAATTGGTTTTAAAAACAAGTATAAAATACTATAGTGAGCCAGGATCCGCTGTTAAATATCCCACACCGCTCCACAGTTATTCGGTGGGTGAAAAATATCGAATAGCGTTCTTTCTTCACACGTCAATATAACAATGGCATCAAAATATTCCAAAAATTACTGTCTGCACATTGACCACAAGAAAACGAAGCGGACACACGGACAGATAAGTTTAAATTGATTCAGAAAGTGTTTACGAATCAATTGTTTCAATAAAAGGTGGATCTGTCTCCATCTGATGGTGAATAGATCCGCACAAAGTTAATACACCCCTGCACCTCAAGTGGTGTAGCGTGTAATAATCTAAACACTGCGGTATTAGAAGGTTAATCATACTATTCCTTTTAAACCCTAAGGTTAAGATTTTCTTCAATTCTTAATGCCTTCGGCTCCCAAAACAATAACATGGCTTGCGTCTTATGAGCGAACGCACACCGTCAGCCAATAACAATTAATCAACATGTATAGACTCATCAATAATTTACACACTTTGTGGGTGTTCAATGCGTATTTGCCGTTTTTAAAAAGGAATAATTAAATTTCTCTAGATTTTTGTAAAAAATTAATCCTGGAATACCAATTTTTGCCCCTAGCCCGCATTAATCTATTCTTAAGTCACCCATAACATGAATACTTTTGGCGGATAAGATTCGTGCTTTATTGGAGTAAGTCAATGCTTCAACATATTCTTAAAGTAAAAGGTCTTATAAAATTGTATCGCATGATCTTTGTAGCCAGCTTATATAAGTCTTTTTTTTGAGATTACACGACCATTGAACATTTTTCCTAATGATTTTGAATTTTTCGAGAAATGTATAGCATTCTCAGCTCACAAACATCGCCCAAAAGTTATTTTCGTACATATAAAAGCCGTTTCGAAACATTAGATCTGTTTTCTGTACACCAAAGCTGATGTAATCCTTATTTACGAAGTCATTTAGCCAAATATGAACCTCGTGTCAGGTCCCGCACGCACGAAAGTTTTAATGACTTCTGCTCGGTGAACACCTGCGAATGATTTCTATTCCAAATATAGGTGCAGCAGAGCGAAATTTGACAGAGAATGCAAATATTTTCGATTTTGATTTACGTTCCAAAGATATACACACTTTGGATTCCTTAAACGCGAATATACTTTACTTCCAATTAGATGGGTAAGAGTTTAAAAACGCAATAAAAGAAAAATATTGGGGTAAAAAACAAACGAAAAATAGGCTACGGATTTTCGAAATTTAGGGAAAGAGAAAACAATTTTTTTGCAAATTTTTCTATTAAATTTCAAATGTTTAAAACTGCTTTCATTATTATCATGATTATAATTTATTTATCGCGAGGAAATAAATTTGTGGGACTTTATATAAAGTAAGACGATGAATATTAATAACTAAGGTTATCGATTCCATTCCAAAAGAAAAGAGAACAAAACGGATATGTAAATAGAGAGAGAGTGAACGAGCGTGAGAGAGAGAGAGAGAGAGAGGGAGAAAGAAAGAAAGAGAGAGAGAGAGAGTGCTAGAGAAATAGTCGTATCATTTTAGTTAAATGTTTTAATTATATTGCCATCTTTCAAGGTTTTCATAGGATTGAGGAGAAAAGGGTTCTGAAATTCACAAAATAGATATTTAATTGCAAGGTTTAGTCAGCGATCGCAAAGAGAGAATTTTGTAAAGGTCAATTCGTATATTGCAATTGCTCGATACATATCAATTTTTGCAAATGTTCTGATCTTGATTTTCTCGACCTTTGGTTTAATTGATTTGGCAGAGCAAGACTTAGATTGACGTGGGTACGTGACACTAGTACAAGCTTTTGTTTTATTCAATTTTCTCATTGCTCATTTCGCAAGAGCCCAATGTAAATCGATGCCTAAAAAAAAAATTAGTCTACGTAAGTGGCTTTGCAATACTCTACCCTGCTCTACTCTACCTTTACAACCGATTGACTACCTGTGGTCGTAACCGCTTTGAGTTTGAGCTGTCTTCGATTCAAAATGTTGAAGGGATTTCATGTAGAATTTGATATGCCACGAAGCATCTTTCATCGTGTAGGCAAAGATCACACTTCGGCTAGTTTGGTGTAATTAATCCAATCAGTTTGGTTAAAAAGCAAATTTGATTATGTTTTAATGCTTTAAACAGGAGAGCAGATTTATAACTACAAATACATCCTACAATAGGGAATTTAGGACATTGTGATTTAATTTTATAAATAATGAAGTTTGAATAATTAGAAATTAGATTTCACTTGGAAAAAAACTGGTACGCATGTCGATAGAAATAAATAGCGAACTATTCTGCCTGTATCTACGTAATGCAAATAAAATTTTAAGTAATTGTTCCAATGCACATATATTTAAGTTAAAATTAAAATTTATTAATCAATAATTAATCGTGAATCAATTAACACAATCGAATTGGTTATTAATTAAGATTAAATAGTATTAATGAAGTGCTTTAAGCCAATAAGAAATCTCCTTCGGCACAAGTAACATAACAAAACTAGAATGAGTTAGTATAGTTCATACAACGAAAAAGTTGCATCATGTTGCATTTGACACAAGGTGGTAGCGAGTTCCACAGCATTATAGCGTTAAGAAAAAGTAGTCTTGCTGATCTTAAATACTATAGTCGGGAAGAATTAAATTCATCTGATGAACTGGATTATCGCACATAGATATTTTGGCGCGCAAGCGTGTACTATTAAAAATTGCATTTCTGATACTAAGGAACGTTGGAAGTGTTTTATGTCAGTACCTGTTAGGTGTGGACTAATCTCACCGCACCCGAGAGCAAATGAGTGAATTTGATAAGCCATAATTGACGACCCCCAAAAAGTATAACAATGCCATTGAGAACACGCCCCTACTACCCCTGGGATACGAAAATATAAAATGGGTGTAAGCCATATTCTCGCTGTTTGATAAGCGTCGAGCCCTATTTAATACGTTTTTTATTAGTTCCCCACGAAACTTCGGAGTAATTACCCCCGCCCCGATATTTTCCGAAGACCCGTACAGAGCAGTCAAGACAAAAGAATATTTTGGGCAAAGTGATCTCATACTGACCACGGCCATAGCATTTGAATCTGACGGAACCGTCCCGGAAAGACGTCTAGTACACTGTTATTTCTCGAAAATATAATGTTTCCAAGGAAGTCATCACACGGCATACTCCAAACTGTGCGCAAATCCTTCAACATTTCGTAGCACCCTCAGAACTTAAGTAAGCTTGATGACCTTCATCCTCTAACATTTCGTAGGACCATGACAGAACCGAATGGGAAAAGAAAGTGAGTTCTTTTTCTAGGAAAAACTGTTTCCAGGTTATAGATAATAAACTTGAAACCCTTCTTTTCTTAGTGGCTGAGCAGCTCCAATAAAGAAAAGCTTTAAAACAAACAGCTGTCGTTTGTAGGAACCACCACAAAGAGGTGACTGCTTTCGTACGTCTATGAATCACAGAAGGCTAACATGTGTTCACTGACTAAGGAACGAATGAAGATTAGAGTCTAAAATCTTTGACGACAATCGCGATATTCTGTCGTTAATTGACTGTTTGGACCGTAGACATAATTAAATTTCATAATGCAAAAGTAGTGTTGAATAACTTATAGTAAAAGTGTACTAATCTTGGCAACATTGACAAAATTTGGCAATGTAGCACAAATGGCTACAACCCTAAATATGTAGTCAAAAAATAAAAAAAAAAAAATCATTTTAAAAAATGTTTTCATCACTCCTATAAAAAAAAAAAATAAGGTTAAGAAAAAAATCATTTATTGTAAAAATTAAAAATAAAATTTCTACTAGGACCCAAAATGTACAAAATTAATTTTTTGGCTAAAAGTATTATTAAACCATTAAACATCACTATTGATGTAAACAGTTATCTGGCATGCCGAAGGGGGTAAGTAAATATAAATTTCGGAAAAGAATAAAAAATCTTGTTAAATTCATACCGGGTCGCTTCTTAGGTCCAGCGCACAAGCTGAAATATCACCAGTCCCATGCATAACTTTGAACAATGGGTGCAAAATGCCTGCCTTGGGCTTAGGTACTTGGGGGGTAAGAACATAAATTATATATAATTAAAATTTTTAATTGATCGTAAATTGTAAAAATTCGTTCACATAATAATTAAAGGCTAACGATGATTTTGTTAATCTTGAAAAAGTTGGAAAGGGCAAAAGGAAATCTGCACCAGTATGTATTGTCTAATTGTTCATAAAACATATTTGCATATATATATATATATATAAATATATAAATGCACATTTGTAGGTCGAACCCGATGAATGGGTAGACATAACCAAACGAGCCATAGACTGCGGCTATCGGCATATTGATACAGCTTTTCTCTATAGAAATGAAAAACAGATCGGTCAGGCTATTAAGGAAAAAATTAAAGAAAAAGTCATTAAAAGGTAAAGTAATTGTGTAAGCATTTTGCTTAAGCTTTTTTTGGTATCTAATGTTCTGACACTGCTTACGTCTTAGGGAAGACATTTTTATTGTTACGAAACTGTGGAATACCTTTCACGATCCCGAAAATGTTATAGCCGGTTGTAAGAAAAGTCTTAAAAACTTGTGCTTGGATTACGTCGATATGTATTTAATGCATTCACCAATGGGAGCACCAGCCCAAAAGGACGATAACATTTACGCACCCACCAAAAATGGTAAACCTTTATTTACGGATACGGATTACGTCTGCACATGGCGAGCTATGGAAGAGTTAGTGAAAAAAGGTCTTTGCAAAAATATTGGCATTTGTAATTTTAATATAAACCAATTGGAACGACTGCTAAAGTACGCCAAGATTCCACCACAGAACCTTCAAATGGAACATCATCCATACCTTACGCAAAAGGAGTTGACAGGTTTTTGTAGAGCTCTCAAAATTATTATAACATGTTACGCTCCCTTAGGCTCGCCAAATCGCCCCTGGGCGGGCAAAGACTCTGCTAAAATTCTTTTAAAGGATCCCCAGGCAAGTGAATACTTGAATTGAGTTGATTCTTGGTTTGTAATAGATTGCACATATATAGGTTGCAAAAATTGCTAAAAAGTACGAGAAAAGTCCCGCCCAAATACTTTTGAAATATCCAATTGATCTAGGCCACGCTACGATACCAAATCCGGGAAAGGGAAAAGAACACATGGCCGAAAATATATGTATTTTTGATTTCTGCCTAGCTCCCGAAGATATAGAGGTTTTGGACGCTTTGAATGCGAATGTTCGTTACTTCAAATTCACGGGGTTAGTACTTAATAGTATAAAAACTAAAAATATTAATTTAATGATTGCTGTCTACTTTTTCATTGCCTATAGGAGTAGCGGTCATCCGCATCATCCTTTTGAAACTCCTAAGTCATAAAGTCTTTATAATTTCTTATATTTTTCATATTATAAAAAATATGAGGAACTGGAAGGACTCTATATATCTAAAGTTTTCCCAATGATTTCGGTTTCATCTTTGATTTCAATCATATCATATATATTTATTAAGCTTACGGAGAAAATGATATACAATTTTTTTACAAAATGTACTCATAGCAATCAAACGCTAACTAATATCGTTAATGACAATCATGTTCATGCCATAGTCACATAAAACTAATATCCAGACAACAAAATGTTAAGCAATAAACTGAAATTATAAGCAATAAACAATTTACCACTTGTTCGGTATCATTGGTCAGATTAAAAAAAATTAAATAAGTTTGTGCCGACGTCAATGCAGGAATGATTACTCCTTTATTGCAAGGTACAAAATAACTTAAAATAGAGTATAGAGAAGAAAAAAATAAATAAAAATAAACGTAAGATCAACATATGATATGCACCAGCATTCAACTAAGCCTTATATTCAGACACGGGGATATATATTGATGAATGAATATGTGCTTATTGATGAGAAACAAACTCGAATATAAGCGAGTATTTTAATTCAATTTACATGTATTACATATGACTCGAAACTGTTTAGCAACTAGTTGTGCAATATGATGCTTTTAACCTTATTAACGAACAAAACGCACAGATCAAGTAAGTGGTAATGATCGTTGAATAATTGATTGAATAACCTATTATTGGTTCGGCATTGTGACAGCTGCAAGCACGCAACTCTCTTTGTCTTGAGATTTGAAAATTAATAAATTCTAATAAAGCTGACCAAAAAAAAATATACGCCTTTATTAACTTAAAGACAAAGTTTGCACCCAACATTTCACGCCTTTTTTCAAAGGTAGGCATGTCAATGTGCTTCAATCTTTTATTAAAGGGTGAAAGAGATACAGTAGGATTCCATCTCAAACCTTGCAAAGCAAACATTGAAAAGTCGGAAAAGAACACGAACAGACATACAGACACACAAGGATCGCCTGCGATCAACGGACGCGCCGAAGCTCACTCTGAAGACTTTAACTAAAGGGCTTACCGCTAAAAGATTGTATTCAGAAATCATTACACGCCCATAGGAGTTAATACCGGTGCAAGGAGATAAAATAACCATTGAGTTTCGCCGGAGCTCGGTTTGAACTGATCAAAATATATTCAGGTGGGTTGTCATGCATAACAAGTCCTATATACAACGCCTATTGCAAGTCAGCAATAGACAATTTGCAGTGTCAACGTACAAAGCACTGAGAATGCTGGAATGGCTGAGTAGGTAGGTAAGAACCGCGGCTAGCCAAGTCAGAGTTCGCGTGTTCAAATATCAGTTGCGGCAGAGTTTTCTTTTGTCGTTGTTATAGTAGATGCTCGATCGGTAAAAACATAGCACTGGTCGATTGGACACCAATAGATTGCGGATACGACCTCTTTGTTTCTTTCTCTTTCTTTTCTTCTTTTTGACGGACAACGAATTATACGAATGGGAGACATCTCCTTACTGGTTGGCCATACAAAAAAAAAACCATCTACTTTTCCTAGCCCTTAATATAGTTAGCGTTTAATTTAGGTTATTTATTAATATTTGATTTTTTAATCGATTTGTCGATTTTAATTACAACCGCTACAAATATGTTTTCAGATTTGGTTATGATTCAAAGTCTCTCAAGTATTTGCAATGTCTGTAAAAATAAGGCTTGTAAAAGGCTTGATCGTGAAAAATCGCATCATTTGTCGACTTTATGTGTGTCGACTGTGACTTGACCTTACAGAGGTGGAAACTTACGGTGAAGAGTTTAAATCATTACATTACGAAATTATGGTTGCATTAGCTTCATTTCAATGGCTTTGCAGAAATTCATTGCTAACGTGAACCGTAATATAAAAAATAAGAACTGCTCCTTTTTGTCACTTGCCTAGCGCGAAAAAGGATATTAAGTAGTTCTAGTTATTATTGTTATTGGTCATCGAAGTTTCATAAAAATGAAAAGCGATTGTAAAAAATAAGAAGCCCAGCTCGTGATAAATACTGAACAATCGATTTCAAATATACAAATAATAATACAATAAATTGTTGCACAGATATCCTTACATAGCTAATGTTACACTTTTATCTCGAGTTATAGTGCAAAAAGCGAATAATTCTTACAATAATTTTATAATAACATATATTAACTATTCTCCTAGGACAAAATCGGTTAACGTTGTAAGCTAAAAAAATATGATACACATTGTTTAGCACACTTTGTTGATAGACTCTATGCACTTTAATAACATTGATCTCATGAGAATAATTATAAATAATTCATTGATTAAACAAACAAATGCCAGATTTATAAGATATAATGTGATTTAATATCGTTCCATTGACTTTTTCGTTTGTCAACATCGGATGCTGATGTACGCGTCATCCTAGGAAAAATTATTAACACATTGATAATTACTTCGTTGATAATTAAACTCCGATATCATTACAATGTATTATGATGTTTGTTTCACTAATACGAACTTTAATCACCGTAGCGTTTGTCATTTCCATTTCAAAAAGAGAAGCATCACAGTTGATTAAGATCGGCTGTTAAATATCCCACACGACATCATTTCCTTTTATGCGCAGGCATATTTTTCGTGGTAGCCACTAAGAAGGGTCTCCAAAGAATATGGTCTTATGTGATTTAAAAGACTCAATACGCTTGAAAAACTTGGCCTATCCGATCCAAGTTTTTCACATTAACGTAACATGCCGAGATAGCATTACTTAAGGTTGTTTGTCGACAACTTTTGAAAACTGCAAACTGTTTTCGTAGAACGAGCTAATAGAATTTCTCGTGACCGCAAAAGTGGTCTGGTTCAACTCGGAACTATATCATGCTACCGCACATCAATTTTCTTCAAAATAGTCAAGAAATTACGTATGGTTAGGCTGAATAGAAAATCACCTTAGGAGACATTAGGCAAACGAACAGAAAGACAATCTTACAACAATTCAGAAAAAGCTTCTGAATCAATTTATAAAAGTGAGTTTACCTTAAGTCTTACTAGACGCTGCCTGCGGGCGCTAAATGACGTGGTGTAAAAAAAACACCTTTCAAAGCTTTTGCATATACGAAAAACAACATTACTTTGAAATTAATGTCAGTCAAAAGCTTAGTAAAATAAAAATTAAAAAAAAAAAAAACCCTGAAACACTCTTAAGAAAGGAAAAACTTCACTAGTCTAAATTCTAAATTTTCACGCAATATGCATCCAATTTCTTTATTAGTCAGAAATATTCTAAAACCGTCAAATTTCGTTGCGGCAATCACTTATGGAAAAACACGGCATGGGTAAGGGAAAAACAAATTCTGAATCTCTCTGTAAGATGTTTTTCGATTGCTTTTCCAGTGCTCGCAACGCGTCCACAGAAGTGCCGACGTTATGTCTGAATAATGGATCTAAAATGCCCGCTCTGGGCTTAGGTACTTGGGGTGTAAGAACTAAAAGCATCACTATAATTGGAATTGTATATTGATTAGATATTAATTCATTTCCATTTTTGAAGGCTACTGAAGGTTATCAATGCATCGAAAAGTTTGACGCATCTGAAGCTCCCGCCACGGGACGGGTACGTCTTTCTTCGATAGTATCTTCTATGAAAAAAATTCACCTCAAATATATTCCTAGACAAAACCCGAAGAAATGGTTGACGCAATGAAATGTGCTTTAGATATTGGTTACCGACTTGTCGATACGGCTTTCTTATACAAAAACGAACAACAAATCGGTCAAGTCATTAAAGCGAAAATTGAAGAGAAAACCCTTAAGAGGTTCTCTATTGTTTACGAAAAAAGATTTAATTTTTAGGATAATCTTCTCTTATATATACTGCTTGCGTTCCAGGGAAGACATCTTTGTTGTTACAAAATTATGGAATAGCTTTCATAATCCGAAAAATGTTAAAACTGCTTGTGAAAAAAGTCTCAAGAACTTGTCGATGGACTATATCGATTTGTATTTAATGCATACACCAATGGGAGCACAGCTCACCGATGATCCTTACAATTTTTCTTCCGTTAACAAAGATGGGAAACCCTCATTTACCGACGACGATTACATTTGTACATGGCAGGCAATGGAAGATTTAGTAGACAAGTGCTTCTGCAAAAGCATTGGCATTTGTAATTTCAATTTAGATCAAATGAAACGATTAATCCAACATGCGAAGATTAAACCGCAAGTCTTGCAAATGGAACTTCATCCATATCTTACGCAAAAAGAATTATGCGAGTATTGTAAATGTCATAAAATCATTATAATGGCGTATTCACCGCTCGGTTCGCCGTCGCGACCCTGGGCCGGCAAAGATACACCAAAAATTCTTTTGCAGGAAAAACCGGCAAGTGCACATCCATTCATTAATCTATCGAATTCACTCTCATGAAAAGCATTTATATATTATTTTAGGTCTTAAATATTGCCGAAAAGCATAATAAAACGCCTGCACAAGTACTTATAAGATATCCAATTGATTTAGGTTACGCCACCATACCGCAATCGGGCAAATCTGTGGAATTTATGAAAGAAAATTTTGATGCACTTAACTTTAAATTATGCCCCGAAGACGTACAATGTCTGGATAGTTTAAATGCAAATTTGCGCTTTTTTTGTTTTACAGGGTAAGAGAGAGGAAGAGAGAGAGAGAGTGTGCATAAAAATATAAGCTATGCTCTGACTACTTTCTCCTATTACTTGCAGAGCCGCTGGCCATCCACATCATCCATTTGGACTGTAAATGCTCTTTTGCAAGAGATTTTTACTGATTGCCGGAATCTTTATTTTATATAAACATTTTTATTTTTTATATATTTTTTAATATAAAACGAGTTTTAAACATTTAATTTTCATTCATTTATTTCACCTTCATTTGGAATGTGTATGTAGGGTGTTCACAAGTTGCATAAATGAAGTATATTAACTGTACTGGCTAGCATCCGTGAAGGGAGACTGTGCACTTATATGGTCGATCAATCACTTACAAATTAATTTTGCGTTCGGGACCCAACCGCCTCCAGAGCATCAATTTTAGTCTTCCGATTGCTTCTAATTGTATATTTGAAGCTTTAGTAGTATTGCGCCATCAACATCTACATTCTCTCTATAATCTCTTCTCGCGCTTCCGATTTATTTCTCATAACTTTTTACGCTAAACCATACATCAGACAGCGCCCCAGTAAACACGTTAACGAAAATCTAAACCACTAACGCTTTATTGACATCACCTTGTATCCTCTTGGAGACGTGGCACTGCTTCATTTGAAGCATTCCTTCGCTTATGGCTAACTAATTAAAAGAAGGAATCGTCCGTTTGCGGCACGCTTGTTGACTCTAAATTCTTGTGTAAACGTATATAAAAAAAATTCACATATAATTGCTTTTATATACATATAAGTGAGATATGAATATGAATATATTTAAAACAAAGCTATTATTAAAAATGCAATGAGCCAGAAAGCTTCCATAATCACCATAATGTACGCAAGGGCATATATGTGTCATCAGTAAAAATAAAATATGTCTTTAGCAAAAAAAAGGAAAAAAGAAGAAAATAAATAATAAAAGTCATGATAAGAGCATGTAGGAAATTGAAGCTATATACGTATACATACATATCTATCATACATATATATAAATATATAAATATATTATACGTGTAAAAAGAGATGCAAAGAACATAACATATTAAAATAAATGTTTAAAGATTTTTTATAATGTAAGCACAATAAATATTTGCATTGGTTTACATGCTCTGCGTAAGGAAATCATTATTGCCATGAACATGGTGTGCGTGTAGCCGCCGACATCTGCATTTTCGTAGTGTTGCATTTATATTGTAAAATTTTAATAAATTCCGTAAAACATGCCTCTTATGAAAATTAAATGCAAATGTAGTTTTATGCAATTTCTGTTCTTTTACTTATCCTGTGTTGCTTACTCTTACTCTTTCTCTTTTTTTTTTTTTAATTTCATTTTATTTTTTTAACTTTTTATTTATCGTTTTTAACACATACGAACAAGAAAGAAACATGTCGCCAATAATTAACGAGCCGCAAGGTATCGTGTAAAGTAACAATCGATATTTTATAGCGAACTCAGAATTTTTATTCTTTCTTCATATTTAAGTCCACGGTTTTGTTCTTTTTTTTTTTTGCAGTCATTGAACTACATTGTCACGGCAAAAGAAATATGTCGCACTTGTTATTATTGTTCTTATATGTTATATTATATAGGAATATATATTCCTATACTGCTTACTTATATTGACATATTTACATAACAAAAAGGAGTCAAAAGCATAAAACATGAATGAAAAAATTCACGAGTACACCTATCTATCTATAATAAAAACAAATAAGAAAATGATATTCGCCCGCGATTGGCTCTTTTGCGCCCAGTAACGTTTGATACTGGTTAATAATAACACGTAGACTTGACAGGGCTTCTGAAGCTCCGTTCCGGATACTTCAAATGTTTTGAAAAACGAATGCAACATGTCCTGTAGGACCAGACCTATAGAGAATTGCAATTTTCTGTCGTTGTATCTGTTATAGTATATAAGCAACAAGCAAAAAACAAAATTATTTTTGAAAGCAGAAGTGATTTCAGGTTATGTTGCCCTTTGCCCGCGCGCATTGACCCCCAATTTGACATAGTTTCAATAACGACCTGCATGCAAAATCTTTCAATTTTTGTTCCAAATCTGAGAGAAACAAACAGATGGGCGGACGGACAAGCATTCTTAAGAATTCGATGGTAATGAAAAATACATATATAATTTATGCTGCCTCTGAAGCTTCCTTCTGGGTCTTGCAAACGTTTTGACAAAATGAATACACATCTCAGTCTTCGGTGATTTATATAAAAAAAAAAAAATTATAATTTATTTCAATGCAAATAACCATGAAAGGCACATTTGACTGTTAACACGTAATAACAATTACCCTACAGTAATAACTCTATAATAATCGTAATTCATAACACAAGCAATCGTTCCTACGCTACTTGACTTCGCTGTCATAGCCTTTGTTTGTTCGCTTGTGAAAACAAAAATATTAGATAAAACAGTCAATGTGATGCTGATATTACTCGTAGACTTGTATATGCCTTTAGTTAGACCAACTCTTGAACATTGATCGATAGTTTCGTTCCCTTGTTTTAGATGCTGTGTTGATCGTCTGGAGTCCATTCAACAGGACGCCTTATTATTTGCCTTACGTAGTATGAAATACGATTCTGACTTACCTCTCTCACCGTATAACAATGGACTGGAACTCACTGATTTATCCTTTTAGGTATTGTGTAAAGTTTTCATCAAACGATCATTGCCATTTAATTGTTTTTTGTTTTCTTTTTTTTTGTGTTTCGTTCGTCAATAAAGTTAGAAGCATTGTATTTCACAACTAACTGCTAAAAAGTTTTGGGCTTGATATAGGTACAAGTAAATTAGATCGTAATACTTTTTTTTTTTGTATTTGATTTTTTTCCCATTTGTTACTATTAATATAAAATAGCACATGTTAACTCGTCAGCACGTATCTTAATTTAATGCTTAGTTGAATTCTGGTGTATACTATAAGTTGATCTTATTTTCTTTTCTTTACTACAATTAAGTTGTTATGTAGCTTACGTTCGGCTAATGAGTTGTACTGTAGGGGAATTTATTTAATAAATAAATCAATTAATTAAGAGTCCGCAGAACTTTCTAAACAGATAGCAGCGAGTAAGTGGTCTCAAAAGCTCGAAGGCTTTTACACAAAATTTCGTCAGTGCTTCTAAAATCTTGTTCGTCGATGTTTATAATTTAGTGTCTATTGATGAAAAAGGTTTTTTTTTTTATTTTATACGTTTTTATGAAATTTTATACTAATTTCAAAAAAAAAAAGGAAAAAATATTTTGCAATCAAACACGAAATAACTTCTGGCGTATAAAACAAAATCATTCTTTGTGAAAATAAATAAAACTGTTTTTTATAAAATTGACGCTAGAATCTGAAAAATAAAATTAATTAAAAAAAAAAAAAAAATAGTCATAAACAATAAACGCACAAACAAAATTATTTGTGAAAATTAACAAAGGCGCGTGAAACGTTTTCAAAACACATCAGTTGCAATTCGAATACCGGCCGCCATTAAGAGAAAAAAAACTTTAGTTAAAAAATTGCAAAAAAAGGAGATTAAAGAGTGAGGGTTGAAATGGGCGACAAACATAGAAAGAGAACCCAAATCGCACATTGAAACACATACATATGCATAAATAAGAACTAAAGACTTTTCACATATACATATATATATTTTTGTACATTTATTTACATGTATACATATTATATAATGAAAAGTGAGATAAAATATCAAAGACAATTTAAAAACATAATAAATCAAAATAAATAAAGTTTCACAACGATTTTATCGAATTAAGCTCAGCGTACGCATTTCATATGAAGTTTGAGTAACGACGTTTTTCTCGAATGTATCTTCGGTCACCTTATACAGCACCTGTAAATTCCCATCAGTCTTTCCAACCACATAGGTATATCGATAATCTGTATGACCTTCTTTTGAATATGCCGAACATCCGGGTACCGAAGATAGGTAAACTTCATTGCGCTTTCGTAGCTCATTCAGGTGTAGCAAGAAAAGTTTCAAAGGGCCTTAAGCCCAACTTGAATGTCGCCACTCGGTGAGGTTAGGTCTCTCTTGCATTGTCTTTTTAGAAGTTCTAACGCACATATAGAGATTGCATAAACTTTTGCTTGAAGTATTGAGGAAGTATGTCCAGCGGTATGGGTCAAGCAATGTAACTTAACCTAAAACTTGAAAGAAAAAAATAGTAGCATTGACTGTCGCTGCCGCCGCAAGCTGCGAGAATACTTTTTCACGAGCGCGATAATACATTTTTTTATTCAACTTTACTTCTCCCATATGAACTTTACACAAATAACTTTTTTCATAAATCATTTACTAATTTATGGCAACATTTCGCTCTATTGTATAGTTGTGTTAGTAATAGCAGTGACAGCGCGCGCATTAAAGTGTGTATTTTATAATTGAGTTTATTTGTTGTAAATAAATTGATTTCCCTTTTTCTGGTGTGTGTCTGCTATTGTTGTTGCGTTATCTAAGTTCGCACATCAAATTAAATGCCGTAGAAATTATTTTATTTATTGAATTAAATTGTTTTTGTTTACAATTGTTTTTTTTTTGTTGTTGTTGTCTTGTTTATTATTATTTTCTATTATGCATGTATGACTGATAAGCATTCGCCTATGTATGCGCGCACGTGCGTTTGCATGTATGTATGTATGTATGTATGTGTTTGCGTTAAAGCTATTTAATGAAATATCAAAAATCAACAACTTTATTATAACAAAATACCACATACTACTAATATACCACAAAAAACAACAACAAATGTGGTAACACATCATCACATTACACACGCAACACACAAAGTCATCAGTATAATGAATTGATTGAGTAAATGGAACAAATATCACATTAACTGTCTAGTACGTATACGTATGTATGTATTCTGGTAGGTGCTTGGTTTACTTTATAGATGCACTTACTTACTACATACATATATTTTTACACATCTATATATATATATATATATATATATATATATTTGCCATCACTCATGTAACGTGGAAAATATCATCATCATAATAATGATGATGATGATGATGATGATAACGATGATGATGATGATGATGACGACGACTTTCCTGTCACATACTGACTGAGTTGAAATTTCATTGCATAAAGTATGAAATATCGTTAACGTATAT